ACCCGTTTTTTTTTTTTTTTTTTTTTTTTGGCAGGCGGCACCTGATATGGGGGTCTGAATCTGTGACCTTGGTGTTATAAGGCTGCACTCTAACCACCTGAGCTAACTGGCCAGCCACAATTTTCCCATTAAAGTACACCAGTTTTTAAAATGAGGGTACTTCAAAATGTTCGTGGAAAATAGAATTAAAAGATAATACAATCTTCCCATGAAGTTTTTGAAGTACTCTTGTATATTCAGAATTGTGCAACCCACCAAATTCAAATTTAGAACATTTTCATACCCCCAAAAAGAGACCTGTGTCATCCTGTCCTCCAACCTGCTCACCTTTTTTTCTTCTTGAACAACAGAAATTTAATGTTTCACAGTTCTGGAGGGTGGATTGCTCTCTTTTTTTAAAAAAAGCCTTCTCACCCCATCTCCTCCCGCCCTGGGGGTGGGCGGCCTGCACTTGGCTGTTCTCTAGGAAGCAGGTCTCAGCAGGCTCAGAGGTATAGGAGGGTCCTGAAGAGAGGCTTGTGGGAGCCTGTGGGAGCTGTGCCTTCTCAGAGTGGCTTGGGGAGTCTGAGAGCCCTTCAATCCCTGCACCTCCTAGGTTTGAAGACTGATCTAAAGTGGGGTGGACTCATCATCCCCTCCCCCACCCCCATGAACCTGGAAGAAATGCAGAGACATCTGCCCAACCTCTCACTGTGCAAGTGAAGGGACTGAGCACTAGAAAGCTATACACGTGCCTAAGGCTGTGCAGGGGATTTGCAGCAGAACCAGCACTCAAACCCAGACCCCAGGCCTCCCGGAGCAGAGCCATGGAGGAGTGGGTAGGGAGGACACCATCTCACAGCCAGAAGGTGAAGCTGCCCCACCTGTCCTGAACACCAGCCCTTCTGGGAGAGTGCCTCAGGATGGGAGTCCCCTGCCTGCTGACAGTAGGCAAGCGGGGCCACAGCAGGGGCCACATTGGGATCGCCATCCCGGGCCAGAGGTGGCAGCACCCAGCTCCCTTGGGTCATTTGCCTCCATGGGCTCCAGAGAGCTCTGCGGAGGTCCTGCTTGTTTTTGGCCAGAGTTAGATAGAGGCCCCCTCACTAGAGTGGTGTGCGGGGTGGGTAGGGGAGTGGGCCTCTGAAGTGGGGAAGGCCTGGAACCCCAGGTCCCTTTGAATAGATAACATAGACTCTGAGCCCATTCTGTGCCCCCCAGCCGTGTGCCAAGCACTGTGGGTACTGAAACAGTCCTGAGCCTTGTCCCTGCCCTATGGAGAGTAGGTTGGTCCTGCAACACCACCATGGACCCGCCAGGATACCTGGTCCACTTGTTCTTTCAGCCAAAGTTCCCTGAGAGCCTGCTGTGTGCCACACTGGAGCCAGAGGGAAGGGGAGGATTGCTCAGGTCCTGCCCTCGGGAGCTTGCAGCCTGGTTCATTTCCCAGAATCAAGACACCCTGCAGCCAGGAAGTGCTAGAGCCCTTTTCCAGAGCTGTAGGGAGTAGCCCCGCCCAGAGCATTCAAGCGACGTGCCCTGCAGTGGGTAGACCAGCCACAGCTAGGGGAAGGCGGTCATGCAACTCTGACTCAACTGACCAGCATCCTGGGAGGAACCTCAAGATCCCTGGAAGGCACTTGCCAAAGTGCAGTCACCCAGTATATGAACCGCTGTTCCTCAAAAGGAGGGGTTCTGTGGAAAAGGGAGTTTGGGAAGTGCTGGAATGAAGTTAAGCAGCATCAGGACCTTTTTGTCCAAGATGAATGTAGTTTGTGGCCCAAACTCCTCATTTAGAGAGAGCATATTGGACCTTTTTGGGTTGTGGCAGAAACTTATTAATCAGAAAGAGCAATTTATTGGTTTATGTAACTGGAATGTCAGCTTCGGGCACAGCTGAATCTGGGTCCTTATGGATTTGGTCTGGAATCTGCCTGTGTCTTGGCTCTGCTTCCTCGGGTTGGCTCTTCCACATGGTCGGCTGCAGGCTGCCTGCAGCTCCAGGTGGATGTCCTGCTGGCAGAGAGAGGGTGCCTCTATCCCAATAGTTCCAGCAAAACTCCCAGAACCCAC